AGTTATTATTTATTATTATTATTATTATTATTATTATTATTATTATTATTATTAGTGATATACTAATACTTACACAAACTAAGCAATATTGCATATCGTCAACATATTCTGATCAATCCATTAAAATTAAACTACAATCAACATATAAACTGAAATGTCAGCGCCAGTTAGTTTTTGAATGTTATCTTTTTTGCTATTTTAGCTATTGGGCCCTAGGTAACATTACTGTATTTATTTTAAACGTATACTTTTTTGTTCTTTTATCTAAACGGCATTATTTGATTTATTGACCTGCCTTCCATTTTTTAAGGATATTATTTTAATACTTCCTATAATTTTAATACATGTAGAATGAGCAGTGTGTAGGTGTTGAACATATGCACAAGGCACTTCTATAATTACTGATTTCCGACAGGAAGATCTCACCTGTGAATATGATGTTGGTGTACTGCAGCTGCAGTATGAATCCTTGTTCAAAGCAACCAGGAATAATTATAGACGATTGAATGCTTTGATGTGATTTCATGGGAATATGTAATTTGCTTAGCAAACCAAATCCAAAAGGCATAAGTAGTGCTACATCTCTTGTCAGTTTCTGAAGTTTGTCTTTCAGAAGTGTAGGTGCGGAATTTAATGATATTCCCAAAATGTATTATATTTCCCTGAAAATTCTTAACCTTTTTATTGATTTTATATTCATGTATAGCTGTCTTGCATTCCCCATAATAATAATTTGAAGTTATTTAGTGTGTCTTAGCAATGAAAAGCACAGAAATGGGTGAAAAAGTGTACCTAAGCTTTAGAAACCTTGATGTTGTTTCGTTGTTGTTTAAAGTACCCCCTTCCTTGAGTTTGACTTTTTGACATACAGTTTTCCGAAACACATTGCAAATGAGGCCTTCAAAGTGTGTAATAGCAGGAAAGCTTAAAATGTATATGTGTCTAAAGCTGGTTGTAAATAGAAACCTGCTATTTTGTGAAACTGTCTGCTGAGGTAATTAAATAAAATAATAACATTAAATAAACTGCTATTTTTAGTGGAGAACCACTACAGTTCAGAGAACAACATGGACATTCCAAAGCTTTGCTATATGCAAAATCTACCTAGTCACCAAAGAACTCACCTTTGAAGTTGTAGGATTTAGATATATCGAGATCTGTTTTTAGGTAAGTACAAAGTACTTCAATACTTCCGGTTTTGTTCAAGGTTAAGGACCTGAGTAACATGAATTAATGACTGAATGGAGCTATTCAGCTGAAGATAGAGTGAGATGAGACAGAAACTTACATGACAAATATAACCTTGTATTAAGAAAGTCTTGGTTTAGTGCAGATCTTTGTATGTATTCAGGGCTGGACTGCCAAACTAGGTGAATGATACAAATTATTCCTCAGTTTCTTAATCTCTTTTGATTTCTTTTTTTATTGATGCAAATAGTAATAACAATTTTTAAGAATAAAATTATTTTAAACATGCAACACGGTCCTGAACCTTTAGATATGTGTGCAGGTTAGACACAGGAACTGAGTGGCATTCAGGGTCCCTGAACCTAAACAGAAATAATCCCAAATAAGTGTACAAATGACATCAATGAACACACCTATTGTATGTATTCACGGTTTTACAAATTGTGAAAAAAAATGTGCTACTTTTTTCCAGGTAGTTTAAACAGAAAACAGCTTACAGTTTAGGACACATATTTAAAGGTCAACCTGGCCTGTCTTTTTCAACATTATTATCAGCTATTTCCTATACCAGGGTTTGATGCTTTGTGGAGAACAGAAATGGCAGTAGAAAACATTTTGGCAGGATTTTATATTGAAAAGCAAGAAGACATTTCCCAATTTAACAATAAAGGGGTAAAAGATTGTTGTTCCCAGTTCTGCAGATTCTGATATAAAGGTATTGATCTAGAAATGTATGGAAACTGATGAACAGTAGCATGTTAATCCATGGAAAAAACACCAGATTAACCCATAAAAAATGCTTACATCTAAAATGCCAATTGTTATAAATAAGCATATGTATTTTATTCAGACTAAGCAATAGTCTTATTAATTTTTTTACATTGTGTTGCATACTTCCTGGTGGCAGAGTGGTACAGTGGATAGCATTGCTGCCCTGGGGTTCAATTCCTGGGGTGCTATCTGTGTGGAGACCTCAATTTGATTGGGTTTCGTCCCACAGTCCAAAGACATACTGGGAAGTTAATTGGCTTCTGGGAAAACTGGCCATGATGTGAGTGTGTGTGTGTGTGCCCTGTAATGGACTGGCGTCCCGTCTAGGGTGGGTCCTGTCTTGTGCCCGCTGCTTGCTGGGATAGGCTCCAGCTCCCCTCCGACCCTGTGCTGGAAGAAACTGTTAGAAAAGGAAAGGAAGGCTCTTTGTAATTCCAAAACGATCAATTTAACTTGTTTAAAACTAATTCCATCACTATAATAAAATAAAAAGTTATTCTAAGGGAACAGTGTAATAAATAGGAATTTGTTAATAATGAGACAGTATATATATATATTCATATCTACTGAGATTTAGTTATCTGGGAAATTCATGTATTTTTTACAAATTGTTTGAGCTGTGAGAGATAAATAAACTAGCACATCAGAATTATGCATATAATATTTTCTTAGAAAGACACACAGGCACACACCAACATCCATTTTCCATACAGTTTTACTGTAGATATTCACAATGCCACATAGATATTTTGTAGCAATGGGAAAATTAATTGAAACAAATAAAGTACCACAGTGGAATTGCTGTTAATGATTACTCATTACTTGGCTTTATTGCTGGGTGATATTGATATCTTAAGAATGGTGAACTGAATTACTGGTAAAAAAAAACAGAATGAACGAATTGCAGTGCCATAACAAATACTTTATTACTGTATTAGGTTCATATTTCACTGTTCCACGGAAAAAGAAATTGCACATACAAATCATAGTTTGGGAGCCTTTTACTGAAATCCAGAGTAATTTTAATTGAACTTGGAGTCCTGTGCGTGAATTATGTCTTTGATGCTGTCAATTTCCATTTGGTCATTGGGGCACACTGACATCAAGGGATGAAAACACAGTTCATTTGTACAATAATGATGGTCCAGGAAATGTACATCTTGGTTCCATTTTGTTACAAGCTGGCCTGCTGTTTGACTCAAATGAAATGCCCTGCCTCTGTGTGTTTGATAGCCAGGAGGACTCTCAGATCTTACCCATATAATCCTGTCTGGAGTGTCTATTTCCATCACAGAAAATGAACTGCTCTCCAGGAAAAACATCCTCCAAGTGCTCGCATTTCTCTACAGACCCATCCGGAACAGATATACAGTTGGGGTTAAGTGAAATTAGTAGCGATAGACAGTACTTTTCTTGTCTGTGGCAGCACAGTATTAATAACTTCCACCTTGACGACTCAGCCATGAGTTTTTTTTTCAAAAGGATAAAACAGTAATTGTAGTATGTCCTCGGTGTCTTCTGAAAGAAATGAGAGAGATGGGACTGTTGTAAGTAGTAGCAGCAGTACAGTTTTATTTTTAAGCACTTTTGAGGAAACTCAGAGTGCCGAAATGCTGGCCTAAGATGAAAAGAGTGAATGGCTCAGAATACTGAGTGTACACATTCTTTTGTTAATACACACAGAGGATATAATCACTACAAAAAATAATATCTCCATTTCCGTGTATACACTATTTGATTCTCTGTATTAGGGGATTGTGTGCTCATCTGTTGACTGAATGATAATATTTGACTTGTTTTATTATAAATTAAATTTGAAAAATTGTATTCCTTTTAGTGGAATTATGAAATGAGATCGTGTTGCAAATGTTGTGTAATTACCTTCTAGTTAATGTGTCTTTTTTAAAATACATTTAGGGGTATTAAAAATTATAGCACTTCTCAGATGTAGCAGGTGGCATTTTTGTCAGAGTGGTGTTTTACATCTTCCAGATTAATAGAGCTACAGTATTCTACTCAAAGAACGAATTCAATCTTAATTCAAAACATTTATTATCCATACTGATGCCTGAAATTTCATCACAAACTTTGTTGCGCTCCTTAGTGAAGTCAATTTTTTATTTTATTTTTTAAAAAGGGAAGCACACAATAGAAATCATTGTTAATAAAGTAAGGATTTAATCCCTTTCGGTTTCCATTTGAATTTACGTTTCTAGCTGTGTAGATGAATGAAAATGTGGCTGAAAGAATCCGCGCAAGCTGTTTCTGATGCCTGAGTAGGATTTTGTGCGGAGGCCCATTTCTGGGGCTCAGCCTGGTGCTGGTGTAGGGGCTGCGAGGCCGGTTCTGGCTGGCAGTGTCTCACTGTCAGGTTCTTGTTCAGGTCCAGACAGGCAGGGTGAGCAGAAGCAACAGAGAACCCCTCGGCGCCGGTGCCAGCAGCCCAAACTGCTTAACAGCCCCGAGGACAGCCTGTACTATAACCAGTTAAATGTGAGTTCAAAGTAGTGATAAAGCTCTTTGTCTGACTTTGTTTCCAGATGATAATACAATTAAATATACCTGTGCCAGCCCCTCCAGCCCCACCCCCACGATTTTTTGCCTCTTGTCTTGAACATGTGCTTATGCTCTTTATCTCTTGCTTTCATGTCAGGATGTCTGCCTTCACGGTGAATAATTGATGTGGTTTATCAAAGCTGAGCAAGATGCATGCTTCATCAGGCTCACTTGAGCCCTTTGATCAAAAAAAATTATGCTGTGACTTCTGATATTATCAGCATCTGCTTGCATTCAACACAAAATCACTTTGAATTAAAAATTAATGACTTGCTGCTCATCTTTTGACTGTGTGCTCTTGGCCCTTTCCTCAGAGAACTCTGGATTATCAAGGGAGCAAGAGGAAGCCGAGAAAACTTGGGTAAATAGCTGCTTTCCTAGTTTCAGCAACTATAAACAGAGCAGGCCCTTTGTGGAATTAGAGAATTCTATGAACTTAAGAAATGGAAAAACAGGCTTTATTTTTCATCAAAAAAAACATGGGAAATTGAGTGCAGAAATAAAAGAGCTTGTTTAGCTACTGCTTCCAATTTTTCCTGGAGAACTGCAATAGCATTATATGCCTATAAAGTCCCATCGTTAAATCCTTGACCCTCACATGTTAAGAAAAGCCTGGTTCGACAGTATGGGCCAATAAAAGCCGAAGAATGTCAGTTGTTTGCTGCTTTATCTGTGTACACCACCCTTTCTACGAATTCAACAATTAACATTTACACGCTGTCTGATTAACAGAAAATGTCAGACAGCTTTGGTGCTCTACCTTTTACAGGTTTTGTGTTGTAGCTTTGCGAGTAACTTTTTTTTTCTCCTTTGTCGCAGCCAAATCAAAGTCCTGGATGGAGAGGATGAGTACTACAAATTATTGTCAGCAGCAGAATCTATCCCTGAGGAAGGCAGTTCATCCAACCCTCCTCCCACTCTGTCAAGAGGGCCAGTATTTGCTCAGAGCTAAGACTTACAGCTAATGCACAATGTTAAGTTTATGTGAGTACTAACCACAGCACTGACAAAAATTGGTCTCATTACACAGATTTATTTGCTTTCTCACTCAAACAGATTATCTCACCCTTTTACCTCAAATAAACTGTTCCCCAAGCTGGATATCTACTACTTAAGTGAAATACTGCTGTCAGTGAGTTTTACTTACCATAAAATAGTTGTTTTTTTCATAGAACTTTGTGATAAATTATTACATCCTGTTCATGTTCATCAATAAAGAGACTTATTTTTCCTAGTAGTTCTGCTACCTTTTTAGGGGCTAGGACATGATACCCTCTTCACTTAATGTCCAGAATTTCCTACCTAAAATTGTATGGTCCATCCAAAATCTTTCGTTAAAAAATGAATGTAAGTCAAGTTGTTTTTATGTGTAGCGAGTCGTTCTGTTGACAGCAGTGGGGGATTTGATGTTGCAAATGGTAAGAACGCACAATCAATGAAGACTACATTCCTTGCCTTTTGGTAAGACTGAAGTTTTAGCTGTGTAACTTGCTTGAGTTTGTCTTCTGTCTCTGTTTATTCATGTTTTTGATCAGGTTAACAGAAATAATTCTGGTACACGCAACAACGCGATAAGTAGGACATATGTTCCATTAATAAATTAAAAGTTAATGACAATGTGTATTTGCTTGAAAAAGCAGCATGTCCTGTAGTGCAGTGGGATTCAATATGTGAGAGACTTTCAGAAAGTGTTGTTTTTTGTAATGATATCCCAGTCTGTTCCTCTTAAAAAAAAAGTTTGTATTGAAAATCGACTCTCGCATTGATAACTGCAAATGGTCTTGATTATTTAATTGTGTTATTTATAAAAAAACCTATGCAACATGTTGCTTTGTTATGGAATAGCTTCCTAGCAACCAGTTTGAGAATAGAGTACACAGACTACCTTGTTTTTCAGCAGTCAGACAAAAAAAAGGCTGAGGTCATACAGGAATGGAACAGAAGTGATGTTGGTGTAACTTTTGTAGCTGAATATCCAGAACACGAAAGGTACAATATTTTCTTTATTTAAATATTATTTGGTGAGCTGATTTAATTTAGTATTTTCTAAGAAGCTGTCAAAACTAGGCAGAGAATGTGAGTGGTAAGGTACACAGTGCAGCTTTGGAGTGTAGAATCATAGAATTCTAGATCTTTGGGTGTAACAGGTAGCACATAGCTACACAGGTATTGTTTAGTTTCATCAGGTAGCAAGTGGAGCAGATAGTAACTGCATCTCTGCCTAGAGATGAGTCATGTGTTGTGTCAAGTGACAATAGAGTTTCCATTGTATTTGCTATGAGTTGCTTGACAGTTATGGCTCTGTGTTAAGCCATTGTCTGGTTTTTGACACCTGACAAAACATTTTTGAAAACCTGTGAATGATGCACAATAGTGTATAGAAAAGAAAGTGTAATCTTGTTCTTAATGCACTGAATGAATGTATAGATAGGGAGACTAAGTCACGTATTTTGGTTTCCACTGTTTAGTTACCTGTAGGAACAATGTATTCTAAAGGAAATGCAAAGAAGTATTCAATGGGTTCAATGTTAAACACATTTTTTGGAAGTCTATAAGAATGTCTACGGGTTTTTGCATAGAAATGTATAAAGTATAGAAAATGCCACAAGACACACATGAAAAAAGGTCTCTTGGGAAAGATCAAGAGGTACAGGTATGATGTATCTTTTTATCTCGGGGAATAAGCAAGAGGATCAGGGCTAATTCATTTGTAACAATCAATCCTTTTTTTAGACCTAATGGGCAATAGACGCAGACAGGTGTCTGCTAATCTTATCCATATGGGCTGGTCAGGTCCTAGGCTGGTTTTTGCAACATTTTCCAGTTTCGCAATGTTTCCCTTCAGAAGCTAAACCCGCTTACATCCCTCTTTAGTGTGATCCCGGAGGACTTCAATATAGTTTCTTGCACCTCCTAGTCAGCCCGGTGGTGCTCACTGTTGAAGAGTAAGGAGGTTGCTAAGCTGCTTTCCCACACACAGTGTCTGAGAGAAGTCATGGAAATTTTCAAGTCACAGAAAATTAAATACACTTTACAAAGACTAGCTTCGAAAGTATACAGTATAGCAACCCTCAATACTATTTTATGACCAGATCTGTCTTTCTTGTTGGTATAGTGGTAAGCATCCCCACCTGTCATGTGGGAGACCAGGGTTCGATTCCCTGACGGGGAGTCACTCTTTTAGGGCAGAGCGGTGGCTCTGTGGCTGAGGATCTGCGTCTGTGGCTGGAAGGTTACTGGTTCAAATCCCGTGGCCAGCAGAGGAATCCTACTCCGTTGGGCCCCTGAGTAAGGCCCTTAACCCCAACTGCTCCAGGAGTGCCTTATAAATGGCTGCCCCTGCGCTCTGACCCCAAACTTCTCTCCCTGTCTGTGTGTCTCATGGAGAGCAAGCTGGGGTCTGTGAAAAGACAAATTCCTAATACAAGAAATTGTATATGGCCAATAAAGTGATCTTATCTTTTGAATAAGCAGTATGGTATTCCTTTTTTAGTATATTTTGACAAGATTTATCTTGCATATACATTATGGTAACCCTTTATGCTGTGCTATGACCTGATCCCTCTTGAATATAGAGTATGACACATTTTGGCATACTATATTCTGGCCAGCTCCTTCTTGCCTCAACTTGTATTTTCTTTACAAAATATAAATATTTTTTCAAGATTTTCCTTTTTTATTGGGATATGCAGTCGCATTTCTGTTGGAATTGCTTCATGTGTCTGATTAGGTTGAAAACAAAAAATAAAATTATGTGCTGGAAAGAAAAGCAACAGTAAATATTTTTGTAAACATTCAGTAGTGTTTAATGTGTCCAATATGTACACAATGTGAACCTAAAATCACGACAAATATTAATCACTCAAAGATAATTTCACCAGTACGTAAGAATTAGTATTGTTTTAAACTTGTTGAAACCCCTTTGCAAAACACCCCGATAAATCCTATCCACTTATAGATGGTAATTCATTTTCCAATTGCTACATTACTAATCTCTACAAATAATTTTGTTTTTAATTGCTTTAAAAAAACATCATTACTAGCAATAGCTACAGAGACAATATTAATATAATTTATGTAGAATATACTCCTTTCTTTAAAATTGAATTGTTTTCTGAAAATCATACTGCAATTATACATGATGTTAAATCAAATATTGCGGCAACAATAAATGGACTTTCAAAGGTTAGGGGCTACGTTTCCCAAATTGTATTTTAAGTGGTAATGTGTGCATTCATTTTTTTTTCATTCTGTTTCCCCATTTCTGAGCAACCTTTTGCAAGGTGTGTACCTTTAAATGTCTGGCATTAATGGAAAGGATACAGTGCAGAGCATTTTGAAAACCACCCTGTAAAAATGAACAGTTGACTATCTTAGGAAAGTCTTGTCATATCTTTTTCTCTACCTCTGTCACGTGAACTCACTATTTTACGTCTTAAGACTGTGAAAAAACAAAAACAGATCCAATTTACATTTTCCCCAATGGCCTCTATCTAAACAAGTAAAGGGGTGGACTGAGTTCAACAACAACTTAAGTTACCTGTACCTTTCAAGGAACATGAAAAGTACAGTGATTACAGCTAGACAACAGAAGCAAAGACAATGAAATTAAAGTATGTGCTTGATGTGTAAATAGCAACAGTTTAATCAATTTAGACAATAATGTGGTACTGCACAAGGTTCTGTTGCTGATTATGTAGAGTCTGGTCTGTGGTTGAGCAGAGAAGATCTTGGGTTAAGAGTTGGACAATACTCATGCAGAAACTCCTCAAAGAGAATTTAGAGCTAGTCCATTCAATGTCTTATATGTGAGCAAGAGGACAGTCACCTTGGTGACACTAGATTGAAACCAGTCTCTGCTAAAATGTGTGCCACAGCATCTTACTGAGTCACAAGATCATCTGGCAGGGGAGCAAATGTAAATTATCACTTTTTCACAAAAGGCTTTAGAAATGCATTCTTTTTTCAGAGACATTCACAAACATGCCTATCATGTAAGTCAGTGAATAACTTCAGTTTGGCCTTCTGTGAATCATGCGAGGATATTCATTAGAGAAAGGAGAACATGGTCATTTATCTTGGTGATTAATGGCTGTATCGCAAAACCATTTTCCTGATTTGTTTAGTGAAATAGTAGAGGTTCAGTTGGAATCATTGCAGAGCAGTTATTAAAATAGTAAAACAGGGTGGTGAGTTTATTTGTTGTGCTTTTAATAATTTGCATATCATTTACTGCATCTGAAGTTTATTGACACCCCAGGGGCAGAAAAGAGATTTTGATCTTAATAGAAGAAGTGTGATGATAAGAATGAGAAACCAGCCTTTCAAACATCCATAGGGGACTAACATGAGTTTTATCTTGACAGCAGGATTGTGGACTAAGTCAGCCTCAGTTGCTACAAAAAACAAGAGATTTTGTTCACGTACAGTAATTACAGTATCTCTGGAAACCTAGGTTTTCAGTTGGAGCTAAGATTGGTTGTTTTTCTGGACACTTGTAACAATACAACCCGACAAAAATGATTCTTAAACTGATGTAAAAAGTTTAGTGTAATATTAAATCTACTGTTTTTTTGTTTTAACTTAGGCTGTCTGGAGCTATATATTATAGCAGCATCTCTCCATCTGAAACAGATGAGATGTACAGATTATATTATAGCATTTGCAGAGGAAAGAGGTGTTGATGGTGTGCCTGTGATTTGAACTGAGAGGAAATGTGTCACATATGAGATCTAATCCTGAACATCTTTATTGAATAGACTTTTACGTCATAGTTTTTTAAGAATGTGAAGGGAAGCTTTTCTGCAGGGCGGGGGATAATAATTAAATCTCACCAATGCCTGGTGCAGTTGAGGCTTGAGTAGGCATTCAAATGAACCATTATACATGCTTGAGTGCGATTTTGTTTCGTAATGGAGCCTCTCATTGGGTTTGGACAAACACCGAGAGCTTGAATGAAGACAGGTGGTGCAACCTTTGTCAAT